GTCCACAGCCACCACTAAGTGATGAATCGTGTCCACTGAGCTCCGCCCACCTTTCGATCTTAGCGTTTCGAGGATAACCCGTTGTCCTCGTCAGGAGTGGGCATCTTGTCCACTGACTCAACTTGATAGGGTGATTTCTTGAAGTTGCATGTAACACCTTAAACAATGTGACTTCCTACCCTCCAGAGCTGCTGCACTTATCCGTGAAAGTTGCAAGTGCACTTATCGCTCGGAGTAAAATGCTCGACGGCATTACAACGTCTTTGTTATCCGGGTTCGTCCTTGGTGGCCACCTGATAAGCTTGGTAAACTCTCTGCGTGTGCGAAGGCCGAGCCCTCAGTTTCTTCTGAGGTAAAATCTATGCGTTCGCGCACAGTTCCGGACCACTCTTTGGAAATGGCAACAAAACGAAAGAATAAAAGGTAAAACGATGCGGGGCACACCACAAGACAGAGGAGCGTTAGCTCGATAAATGAACTGGTGTCTTTACGATGCTGCTGTGGTGGCAGGAAGACGAGTAATGGTGCTCGTGAAAAACTGTACATTTTCGGCGATGCACAGTTCCGGACCGCCTCAAACTTGCAGGGGTTCACGACGCCCACGATCTAGAACACCGCTACAAAACAAGTTCATTATGCTACAGAAGCATTCAATCGTCTTTCACCAGCCTCGTCTAGTGAATCTTCAGTAAAATCCCACACCCACACCTGGGCCTGTTCGAACCAAACCAAAAGTACGAGCAAACCTGGTTTGAATCCGTTTCAAGGTTCGAATCGGTTTCATTTTGTAACTCCAAACCAAGTTGTCGTTTTATGAGAACCTCCGTGTTGGTTTGAACCTAGGGCCTCTACAGTTTGCACATTACTAAAAAAAAATTTTTTTGTAAATACAACGTCGTGTCTGTGAGACAAATTAACGAGAAATGCTTACTGTTGAAGCTAGACTCGTCTCTAACTCACGACTCATATAAAGCATAATATGCATTATAATAAGGGCAACTTGCCTTTCTGAAACGGTTGGCAATGGCCAACCTGTACTATGTTTTAGACAGCAGTATAGAGTTTTCTAGCATAGTTTTCTTCTAACTGCTCATTAATGTTCACTCTTTCTTTCACCAACACTTCGACAAGTCCTTCTACTCTACGTGCTAAAGCTGCCCCGCAACAGGTCATGAGCCCCAGCCAAGCCTCAAGTGACGACTTCCCTCGACTTTCCGGTTCAAGGAATGACGACGTGTGGAAGACCCGAGTGACGGCATCGCTTGATGGCAAGCACCTACTCGGTTTCGTCACGAAGAAGGACTACGACGGGTTGAGCAGCGATGAAGATGACGAAGACTCGTCCGACAGCGAGAGGTCCGATACTGAGGATGCACCCAAGACCTCGCCTCCAGTCGAATACAACTCTGAGTCCGTCAACTACGAGCCAACCTCTGAAGAAGAAGAAGAAGAAGAAGAATCCAGCAGCAAAGAAGATGCCAAGGCCAACAAGAAGCCCAAGGCACCGTCGCCAATCCGCTCGTTCTCCCAGCGCACGGTGCAGC